AGCAGAATAATCAGAAAAATCTTTCCAAATCAGTATATTGGAATGATTTCTGAAGGATCATGTGACACTAGAGACTGGAGCAATGACTAAATAAATATAATAAAATCTATTAAAATAGGAAAATTTTAATAAATAATCACAGTATTACTCTTTTTACTTAAATTTTGCTAAATAAATAAATAGATAAATAAATGCAGCATTGCTGAGCATAAGAGACTTCTTTCAAAAACATTTAAAAAATCTTACCGACCTCAAACTTTTAAACAGTATTGTAACTTGTTGGTGACACTGATGGATTATCATAAATGATTATAGTATATTAAGTCCAGGGTCACTGTAATAATACAATGTGAGCATGGATCATCTTGTCTCCATCTGATTATTCATACTGAACATTTCTGTATCGATCCATCTGTTTTTCCACGCAGTTTTTCCAATAAATCACCACTGTCAAATCATCTCTGGCCACTGTAAAGCCCCCAATCAATACCAATATTGATTTTGTCATCTTGGGAGATAAAGAGTTTTATTTGTCCTCTAATCTTTAAATCCCAAATATAAAACTTCCTTGCAACAAAATGTCAGATGCAACTTGCCTCACATACAACGATGGAAGGATTGAAGTTTCTGGACAATCAAGACACATATGGATCAATTTATGTATGTAGCAATCAGTGGGGATTTGCATCGCAGATCGTTAGCACTTTTCATGCTGCCCTTGATGTCTCTTACTCACAATGTATGGGGATGGTGAGGGGTTGGGAGGAGTTGTCTGCAGCAGAAATGTCCTCAGTGACGCAGCGGTATGGACCCTCAGACCAGGACTGGATGCTGGCGATGAAGACGAGCAGTCTGCCTTCCTCCCTTCTCACATCCACGTCATACAGAAAACACCGGCGGTAGAAATACGCCTGATCTGACTCGAGCCGGTACCACCTCTTCATGTACTGTTGGGAAGAAAAAGAAAGAAATATTTCACTCCAGTAGCTTGAATATGATGCTCCTTTCACTTCAACTTAATATATTACCAGCAAGTGATTTACTTTGACTACTTTAGTGATGCATTTTTTGTCCTTTTTGGGACAAAAAAAACTTAATTCTTCAAAATATTTATTTTTATGGCAGATTTTGTAATAACATTCACTTCATTTTGGGGGAACTTGTTTATTTTGATTGCTTGTTCTACCTTAAAGATCTTCCTTAACCCTATAAAGCCTTACATATAAAATAATAGTGTTTGAAATCTATTTGTTTTTTGGTGAGTATCAAATCTGATTTGGCCAAAAGTTAGATGAAATACTGATAGCTTGTAAATCAATATGATCTTATAACGGTATAACACACTATTTAGAAAAAAAGGCATATAAATATCGGTTGTTACTCTGTATTTCCCATATAATTTAGATGATATTCAAGTGCTTAGTTTTATGAACAATGCTCTGTATTTTTATTGTGATTATTGCAAAATATTTAATGCAATGCAATGCCAATTTAGAGATACACACATAAACGTTCCTCAAAAGCCTGATGTATCATATTTTATAGTCACATTTCAATATATTTTTCTAAACAATATATGTATGGATGATTATATAAAGCTAAGCAGTTTAGTACAAAGCTAAGTGGTTATCAAAAAAATAAATAAATTCTTACATGTTCTTTGACTAATAAAAATCAGTAATGATTTCACAGCAAAAAGATACTTGCACCATGACCAAATGATACCAAAATGCTTTTTACTTGTTTAAAAAGTAAAATATCATTCACATGACAGAAGGAATGTAGTAGAATATGTAAAACAGCTTTTTCCATCAACTTCTGATCAGGTTGATAATCCAGAGGGCCTTAGAAATTTGGTTAGCAAATATAATAGCTTAGGCTTTATGGGTTAAAACGTCTTGCTGATGTAAGGAACACTTGCCAAATTTGATAAAGTATGTTACACTTGGAGGAAGTAGACTATTCGGGGCACTGGCACTTGGGTCTCACTAACACAGGTTAATGAGAGATTGCAAAACAAAGCATCTGTCTTTGTGATTGCTGGTATGGAAAACCTGTTTTGCTCGAATGCGTTTAGATAGCTGGAAAAGGTGACAAACAGACTCTGCACTGACAGAAGCAGCAGATGCTGTGAATCCTCCATAGGCCCCTCACTGCCAGATACTAATTAAATCCAGAATAACAGCTCTCAGAAGCTCACTAAAACACACACTGCCTCCTGCTCTTTAAATACTAGTTGCAGTCTTGATCTCCAGACAAATACATTCAAAATAATGTTATAGTTCTTTATTTGCCATTTCCCTATAAGATTGTTTACAAAATCATGAGGGCAGTTGTGTGGATATTTGAGAGTAAGCGTCCCTGACAGATAGGTTTGTAATTTTAGATCTCTCGCTTTCTGTTTATACAGTAATCAGACCTGCAGCACTGCAGAGGACGTGCACAGACAGCAACAATAACCTAAACCCTTCTCATTTCCCGTGAGAAACAAGGTGTCATTCAGTTTCAATCTGCTGTTTTCTTGACATTTACAGACAAATGCACGTCAAAGGACATTGTGTACCAGATATTTCCTTGCCACTGTGTGTTAGTGACCTTACCTTGGAGAACCTCTCAAAGTGTACTGTGCTCATGTTCAACTTGGATTCTGTATCCACACACTCCAATGTCACATCTTGTCCTTCCAGAATCGGCTCAGTTGGACCTTTTACCTCCAAAGAAGCTGAAGAACAGTAAAACAATACAGAAGAATAGTAAGAATAGTGTAAAAAAAAAAGCGTATTGAATTTGCTTTGTTTTATAGAATAATGCAATTGCATCCATATGGGATATTCAACAGAATTTGTTTAGTATCTCATATGGAAGCAGTTTCTTTTGTCACTCTGGTCTGACAAATCAGCTTATGTATTTATGTAACTATATGTAATGTTCCAGAATATTCTTCTTTCTAAACTTCCTGGTCTGTATAATTTGTTTGCACACCAACCATGACAACAACAGGAACATGAGAGGGCAATTTACATGCTATCTGATGTGCACTGTTGTAAAACTAAGGTTATAAGCATTGTATAAATACAGAAATACAGGTATATTTTTCGTCTTAAAGTCTCACGTGCAATGTTAATGAAACCATTCTTATTGTCAAGCAAACGTGAACGTGCTTTTGAAGAAAAACTATTTCCTTCAAATGTCTAACTGGATGGTTCAGGATTGTGTGTGTGGTGTGCGTTAGGTGAGATGGCAAATTTCTAGTCTTTACTCGCTGTATGCTACTTATATCTTTTGCGTAATGATGTTTTTGGCTGTGACGATGCAAATGCAGTCTTTATAGGGATTATATCGTTATATTATAACTCTGTAATGTTACAAAAACAGGAAGACTTTCGTTTTCACCTAACTGAACAAACATTCCCTGGATTGCCCCTTTAGTAGTAAACTGTTGGTAGTTCAGACTAATTCAGTTTTGAGATGTGCAATTCTGAACGTTTAGATACATTTTCGTTTGTGCAAAGTTATCCAAGCTTTAGTTTAAACGTCAGTCAGTGATACAAGAATAAGTGAAAAAGAATAGGCTACAATAAAATAAAAAATAATTTTAAAAAAAACTTTGTAAAATTGTAACATCTTGTAGCTCTGCTCTAGGTATTTTGTTTTTATAGATATACTGACAGACTGCGTTTGGTTTATAACATTGATTCTAGGTTGAAACAGTGAAAGGCGGTAAATAAATAATGGTTTTAAGAAGACAAGCAAAATGTTATATACCTGTGGATCTTTGGAGAAAGGTGAACGCCAGGACTGTGATGAAAATATAGCCTTTCATTTTGAAGGATCTTGACTTCTGCGTTTGAGAGAAACTTCTGCCGAAATGAAAGTTTGTAAACACAATTTATGAGCGCGGAAGAAGGTGGAGCTTGCGAGACTTACAGCGCTATTGTTTCTTTTGTAGCCTATTTATTACAAAGATACAACGATGCACTAATATAATGTAACAAATGAATCTTATTAGTTTTATATTTGTTCTGTCATATTACAAAAATACTTAGAGACAACGCTATCTTACGCCATGGTATCAAAACATATCTAACTCCTCATCCAAATAAGCGTATGCGTCACTTGTATCTAGCGTAATATATGTTCTGAAGGTGAGTTAGTTTCAAAGTGAAAAGGCATGCGGTTTAGTCTGGCACCTACCAGGACGTAAACATTTTGTTTCGTTTTTGTATGACAAACGTCTGATATGTGAATCTGCAATAAATAATGCCATCAGGACTACTTAAATTTGCCAATGTTGCGGTTACATCCTCAGAAACTGAAATTCCTATTCCAAAAGAAATTCCTATTCCTATTCTAAAAAGTCTATTTTACGACAGGTGACGCGTTACAAGTAGCCTACTGAAAAAAAGTTTAAAATCTTCCATACATTTAAAACAGTTTATTGTAGCCAACCTAATTTCTCATAACATCCTTAAAGTCATTTTTAAAGTCCTTTTTACCTCACCGTTCTTTCATTTAAAAAAAACTTCAGTTATGGTTAACTTTATACCTCTCATTATATTGAGTTGTCGATGTAAACATTTGATAGTTTGCATATATATATATATATATATATATAAATATGCAACCCAGTGCAAAAGTTCTTTGGAATTATTTGAAACAGCAAAAGGTCATGTTAGGCTAATACATTTTTTTAAGAAACACTTTACATGCGTGTAAATAGATCTGGAGAGAATATTATCTTCTCTTACCAGCCAGCCAACCAAAAAAAAAAAAAAAACATGACCCAGGTCACTGGAGGGAAGAGAAATAATAAACATGCATGTTAGAATGTACTTAGTAGTAGGCCATTAAATAATACATAGCCTTGGAAATTTGAAGAGGGCAGAATAGTAGCTAGGGAGCAGTGGAAATTCCCTAGTCTAAAGTTCATTGACCTTACAGTAATTTCAGACAGTCACAGGTGACTGTAGGTGACTCAGCAAAGGTGAATTCTTCAGGAAGTGCACGCCGCTAGTTGTAGTTTTGAAAAATATCGTAGGAGGCTACTTGTTTGTTTGTTGTAGACAAAGCATCATGTCTCATATTGAGAATATGTAACCCCACGACATGGTTCAAGGTTCTGGTCTGAAATGTATCACAAATGTTACAGTTACAAAATTAATCAACAAAACAGAATACATCATTAAACCAAACTTAATTCACTACGATCACAAAGTTGAACGTTTTAAACTCTTAAAATGTAAACTTCAAATAAGGTACATCAACATTTATTTCTGTTGATACATGTGTACACAATAGACATATATTGTAGACATGAGCTAAACTGACAGAAGTACAAAAAGTATCTGATGCTCTGGGTTGAGAGATCATTGACTGCTATAACTGGCCAACAACATTTGCAATACCACATAAGAAGGGTTCACAACAGTGAACAGCTCATCAACAGTGTAATGGTAAAGATACAAAATGGACACAAAAATAATGGACAATTCATTTCCCCTGACAGTTTTGCCAAACTTTAATTCCAAGTAATAATACAGAGGTACTTACAGATATCTTTAACAACAAACCTTTGGCCAGTTGTAAAAATGGCAGCCCCTAACTCCATGCAGTCTTGTGTACTGTCAGTCCCTGCAGAGGCCACAAATACAGTAAGCAACACCTGGCAGGTACATCAAATATGCTAATAATGTAATAGTATTTATCCCCACACAACAAGCTGCATTGACTTTAAATACAGTAAGAGTGTTGTTTAATTTAAAACTGCATTAATTCTACAACCACACTCGCATGTGTGACAAATAATCTTAATGACCATATTTGATTTCTAAATTTTAAAGCAAGAATCTACAGTTTTTGTCTTATTTTGCATGTGCTTTTCAAGATTCCCATTAAGAAAGGCACTGCTACTTCAGCAGAAAACTGTGCTCTGTCAATTTCAGGCTTAAAACCTTGCATTTACCCTAAGAAAGCAATCACAACCATTCATCCATTCTCCAAACCACTTATCCTCTGTAGCAGTGGTTCTCAAATCTGTCCTGGAGTACCCCCAGCCCTACACATTTTGTATGTCTCCCTCATCTATCACACCTGATTCAACTCATCAGCTCATTAGTGGAGACTGCAAGACCTGAAGTGGATGTGCCAGATATAGGGAGACACACAAAATGTGCAATGCTGGGGGTACTTCATGGAGAGGTTTGAAAACTACTGCTCTATATGGTTAAAAAAAACTTAAAAGCTTAAAAAAACTACTTGCAAACCTGCAAAATACTTTCACATACGTACGTACAAAGTGCTAAAATGTAAATAAAGCACTTTTCCACTATCAGGCTGCATGGTTTTAAGCAATACCAGTTGTGGTACGAGTCGCATTAAGTACAAATACAAACATTCCAGTTTTGGATTTATCGGCACTTCTAGCTAACCGTCCTCAGGCCAGGAGAATCATGCTGGTAGAACGGCTTTGGTGACATGGAGACTCATGAGCTTTGTAAACCGAGCCTTCTTCTCTTTGCTCTCTGGTAACCTCTGGCTCGAGGGTGGAAAAACTAGTGCAGGTTTGCTAACGAATATGCACAAATACCTTAATACTGATAGGTAAAGCTACTTATTTAAAGTTTAAGGTGCAGTTTCACAATACAGGTTGTCACAACTTTGCTTTTTTAGAGGCACAAATCACAGGCAAAAGAATCTTACATGACCAAAACAAGAATGTTAGGTCTGACGCCACACGCCACCATTTCCGGGTCCAAACGCTCTATCATATGCCAAAGCAAACAACAAATGGTGGTAATATTCAGTACACTCATAGTGTGCTGTAATACTAACAAATAAATCATGATCCTAACCTTTATCTCTATACCGAAATCTCAGATGGCTAGACAGTGATTCATTCTTTATAAATCATTAAAATACTGGTGTCCAGGACACCATGAGCCTGGAGACTGTAGTGTACACTGCAAGTTTAGCTTAAATGTGTGATATAAATGAGATAGCATTCTCAATTGAAATGTATAGCGTCTTGGACACAAACTATATTTTTTACGTCATGACTTAACAGTGTGATAATATCAGCAAGCTTCAAAGGGGCTCAACATCTGCCTTAATACATTACATATTAAAGCTGCTTTTATCTTTTGAAATACATGGAGTCAGAAATGTTTGTTGTTTTTGTCTAAACTATAGTTTTGTCAGAGCTGCTCTCTTCCTTTTCTCTCTCTTCCTTAGAGTAGTGTTGCAATGTCTGGTGTCTGTTTCTAGACGGAGCGTCTGGAAAACACTGACCGCAGTCCTCGCAGGCATACGGAAGGGCATCTTTGTCCCCATCCCCTCTTAACTGCTCTTTACTGGGCGTACTCCTCTCTTCCATTTCCCGGAGATGGATCTGGTTGAGACCGGAGGCTTGAATTCTCTGGAAGTCTGAAACTGAGGACGACGCAGAGGCAGCCAGGCTAGGCCTTCCCACAGAGTTGGGCTCTGTCACGATCCCGTGAACCGTGCGGTGATGAAAGCGAATACCGGAACGGTTTGAAAAGCTCTTCCCACAGAGGCCGCACACGAAAGGCCTCTCGCCAGTGTGGATGCGAGTGTGGATCTTTAGAGCCCCGGACTGAGTAAAGCACTTCCCACACTGACCGCAGCGGTACGGTTTCTCCCCCGTGTGAATTCGCTGATGTGCTCTCACCCCAGCTAAGTGAGGGAAACCCCGGCCGCAATAAGTGCAGGTGTACGGTCTTTCTCCGGTGTGAATTCGGCGGTGAATCTTAAGCGCCCCAGACTGGCTAAAGCTCTTGCCGCAGTCGGAGCAGCTGTATGGACGGGCACCTGTGTGTACGTTGAGGTGGATGCGCAGATTGCTGTGCGAGTTGAACGCACGGCCGCACTCGGCGCACAGGAAGCCGCCGGTTTTGGACGCATGCTGGGTTCGCTGGTGCTGCAGCAGTTGCGATGGCCGGGGGAAAGAGGCATTGCAGTGCATGCATGGGAGCTGCTGCAAGCCTTCCTGTTGCGCGTGGCCCTGCTGATGGCGAAGGAGCTGGGCACAGGTGGGGAAGGTGCGCTGGCAGGATAGGCAAGGGAACGACGGGAGCGTACATGACGTGCAGGTGGTGAGCGGGCAGTGATGGTGGTGGTGATGATAGTGGTGATGGGCAATGTGTGCCTCTGAGTCCTTTTGTTGGCGTAGAAGTTGGCTACAGGTTTGAAACCCACGGTGGCAGCATAGACACGGAAAGGCCTGAACTGGTGGGGACTCGGGATTTGCCTGAGGGATTGGGCTGTGGGTGCTAGTGCCTTTGTCCTCTTGTTGGGGGTGACCAGATGTGCTGCTGGGCTCTGTGTTTTCCTCTTCCAGAGAGAGTCCCAAACCTAGACACAAGCCTAGGCCGACAGGGGCAGCACTGGGCTCTTTAGTCTGCTGCGGTGGGGTGGATTGTGGGGACGAAGGTGGTTGGATCTGGGAGGCCGGGCTGGTTCTGGGTTTTAAGGTGTGGACTGAGGAACTAGAAGGAGATGAGGAAAGAGGGCAGCCAGGACATGTGCAGGCACGTTGCTGAACTACAAAAGATATAAATCAATGAGGCAGTGAGTATAAGATGGATAAACATGATAAAACTTAATATTAAACTATTTCCTGGCAGGGTTGGAAACCGAGAACAGGTTGTTATTCAGACGAACATGTACTTCAATATCTGCACTGGTTCAAGAAGTAGTTAAAGATACATATTATGAGCTTTGGCACATTAAGTGGCATTTTATAAAAATAGATTAAAATTATTATTAAAATAATTTTAGTATTTTTATTTGTTGTATGGCTCTCTGGAATACTTCTATTTAGCTAGGTTCAGCTATCAAATATTTCTAAATAATGACTGTTGTTACTGTATAACTGACTGCTCATCTATTTCCTTAAAACCTATGTTTCGTATAAAATACTCAGGTTCTAATCACCCTGTCTGGGTTTAATTTGTGATAATGACCTGATGACTCCAATTATTATGATCTCTTCCTTAATATATAGTTATAGGGCACATGACTAGATTGCATATAGAGTGTCTGATCTGCACTAGAAAGCCTGTGAACTCAACTTTTGCAGCAAGACTAATTTATTAATGTATTTTAATATGTAT